TCATAAAAATTAATTAATCAATTAGGTTGTAATTACAACAGCAACAGAGCAATGTAGCCAGAAATGACAGATTTTTACTAGAAATAACCTGTATATTACATCTACTTTTCAATTTTCTTTATTAATTCCTGTTTCTAAACATGTAAACACAGTTAAAAAATCAACGTTTCATATAAAAATGTGAATGAAGCCTCAGGAATAAGCGGTCTAAAGTTTATTTCAGTGAATCACTTAGTTGTGAGTTATACAGCGTGGGCAGGTTCATCTCTGACATTCAGCTACTTCAAATTGATTATAATCTGAACTCGCTCATCCGCAGATGAATCAGTCTCGTGCTCTCTCTAGTAGATTTAGTCACTAACAAATCAAAACTTTCACGTCTGATGACGGCACCAAATTTTTACAAATAGTGCATTAGAAAATAAAAAAAGTAAACAAATTCACATCACTGCATTGCAAGTATTAGAGAAAAATCTTATGCATTTTATTAAGATCCAAATCAAAAGCTGGAGATAACTCGCAGCTACTAGCTCAACATAATGTACAACTGACTGCATATTTTGTGTCTGCTAAGTTTAATTAATAGTGGCGGCCATCTTGAATCAGGTTGACTCCAGTTACTCAATTGAAGATATGCATTTGGTTATTAATTTCATTAAAATATTTCCACTGGTTCGTGAAGTCTTATCCTAATATTTGTTATTAAAAAGATTTATGTGCTGAGTAAATCCACATACATTTGTCCACTTCCTTCTATAAGGTAACCAGTGCACAAGGTTTTAGCACCTATTCACTGCAGTAACAAAAATGTAAGGATGTGACCAGTGACGTGTATTAACCAGAGGCGTCATTCATGCTTCCGAAGATTGTGGTACAAGAGCGATGCCATATTGGAAGGGGCGGACTGTCGATGTAAACAATTTATCAGGGCTAGATTTCCATGTACAATTGCATAAAATATTAGTTTTTAATTGCTGCTTCTGCTTTCATTGCAACATGTTTTTGTCTGATATGATATATGTACTGACGGGTGTTTCTATCAAATCAAAATAATGGTTGTCAAAGCAAACTGTGTTCCTTTGATGTGCTGACTGTCTGTTGAGTTCTCCTAACAATATGGCCGCTCTCTTTGACCAAGAAAAGTCACGTAAAAGCTCGTCTAGTAAATGTGCTTCATTTGTCATAACAATGAAAATTTGATTAATTAAGATTTTGTCTTTGCCCCAGATAAAAAGCCTGTCCAAGTTGTTGTCACTAAAACCAGTGACTTTCACCTGTCAAAGGAGGAGAGTGGACTCCACCTCATCATCCAGGATGAGGTCAAAGACGTCAGTAGTTTAGTCCATCTGGATCTGGATCAAGTTTCCACTCTTTCAGATTGAGATGTGACCAGGCTGATGAGCTACAACCAGACTGAGGATAGGAAAAGACCAGCAACTGCTGACCTGCTCTTCTTCTTTGTGTAACCTCTGTCTGAGTCAGTAATTTAGGAGTAGACAGGGTGCAGGTTATGTAACAGCCCTGACTTTCAGAAGAAAACTACATACAGTCCCCTCCAAAAGTATTGGAACATGAAGTCAAGCTCCCTTGTTTTTGAAAAAAAAAAAAAAAAAAAAAAAGAAGAGCACGAGACAAGAGTTTGGAATGTCAGCTTTTATTTCCTGTTATATACATGTAGATGTGTTAAACTTAGGATATATCATGGTTTGTATTACACCACAGTATAAGTGTTAGCAAATATATGCTGTATTAAGAGCAAAACAATTGAGGCTGCATGTTTCATAGAACTATGAGTGTATTAATACTTCTTCCAGCTAAAATACTTCACTAAAGTTCTCAAATACATTTAATGCAAATTATTTGCTTGAATTAAAAAAAAAAACAACCTACATCCTAATGATGAGGACAGTTTTGACCCTATTCAAGGGGACTCGATTTTAAGTTTACTTTTAGTTTTAAATACACATGTATTTGTATTTATAACTTATAATTACTTAGAAACAATGTTTGTCAAATATGACAAACTGGGGTCAAATCCTTACATTGTGATCACAACACACATCAAATCTCTTCTGTTTAAACAGACATTCAGTTTGAACTCCTTCTCACATTACCTCTATTTAAGCTATGTTATGTATTGATGTTTATATTAATTTTCATTTGTTTTTATCTTTTTTATTTTTGTATTGCATTTTATTTTGTATTGTATGGCATTCTTGAGTGCCATATGGGTGCCTTTAAACAAAATAAATATTTTTTTAATTGATTGCGGATCTAAAAG